CGGAGCCGCTGGGGCGGCGGGCGAGGCTCCCCGGGGTTCCCCTGGCTGCGGGCGTGCAGCCCCGGCCGCCTCCTTTCACCGCGCTCCCTGAAGCCCGGCGGGGCTCCAGCCTGGCTTCGCTGGCGGCACGGCAGTAGGGAATCAAAAGGAGAAAGGATTCCAGGGCGCTGGGACGCGGTCAAACATTGCGCTGGGCTTGGGGAGCAGCGAGGCGGGGATGCCGCGGGACGCAGCCGCTTTCTGGGGGATTCCCTGCTTGCGAGATGGACGGAGGCGGCTTCTGCCCATGTCCGTGCCTTTGTTGCAAATGTTTAATTACTGCCCGTGGAGGCTGGCTTCCCATTCCTAAGCCGCAGGAAGAGGAGGCAGCCAGAAGTGCCCCTTGGAGGAGCTGAGGTTGGATGTTCTGGGGTTTACGGGTGATGGGGTTGGAAATGCTTGCGGTGCGCGGTTGTTTCCATGGGATGCAGCGTGCCTCGGTTTCTTTGCTGCTCCTGGCATTTCAGTGCAACAGGTAGAGATTGGTGCCGTGCTTGTCACCTGTGCGCCCACAGCAAAGGCTCTGAGGGGTGTTGGTGCTGTGTAAAAGTGTGTTTATTTAAGGTACTCCAAAGGGAAACCGCGCACCCTCATCCTTAACGCTGATCTTCCACAAAACCAAAGCGCTGCTTGAGGCAGCGCAAATTTCTCCTTCTTTCCCTTCCTTTCCCTGTGCTGCTTTTCTCCCCCAAGCCCTGCTGAATAATGCATTGAGCCGTGCTGCACGTAATGTGCTTATCTGTACCGTGTAATTAACTATTTACTGCTCCTCAGCTGTGCGGGGCCAGCCTGTGCCCTTGGACGAGGCGCATTCCCCTGCTGGGTTGCAGGGAAAGGCTGCACGTTCCTGGCTGCAGAGCCCTGTGCAGGGAGCACTAACTCCTGCTAGGATTCCTCTCTGCTCTGCTTTCCCAGCCCCTGTCTCCTTTTCCTGACTCTCCCTTCTCTTGGCTGGGGAGCTTTAACTTTTAAAAGTGCTCCAGGCTGCTCCTCTCCATCTCCAGTGGGCTCGGAAGCAGCAGGATGCTGCCTCTTGTGTGAACCAGGTGAGCAGTGGCAGCTAATCTTGGTGCTGTGGATGTGGACATTCTCCTCCTGGGATTTTTTATTTTGAGCACATTTAAGGAAAAGACCCACCCTTTTTATGCTTTTCTGCTTTTACAGCTCGGTCTGTGCTGAAATTGCAAGTGGCAGCTGAGTGCCCAGAAATCACCGTGATTTGCACCAATGCTGGTGTTTTAAATTGAGAATTATTTTTTTTAAAAAAGGAAAGGCTCTGAAAGAAAAGCCTTTCCCTTAAAGCTCGAGTTTTAAGCAGCTTCACCACTGGCTGCAGACTTTAAAAAGCGGTGGCAGCCATCCTAAAAACCCCAGTCTCATTCAGCGGGCCAGGGATCCAGTGTAACCACTTCCATTAAGGTAAAATGTGTTTTTTTGGGGGTTTTGGCTGCATCTTCCTGCAGAGGCTGCTCAGGGAGGAGGGGATGAGCCAGGCTCTTGCTGTTACTGGGGCATGATGATTGGCACCACACACAGCTCTGTGCTGTGTTTTGGTGTTTGAGGGCAGTGCTGGGCTGCTTGGATTTCTTCTGGGTGCAGACAACTATTACTGTGAGAGGTAGGAGGCAATTACAAATAAGGTCAGTAAAACATTAATATCTTCTTGATTCCCTGCATCTTCTGTCTCTGCTGTACAGCACTGGGTTTCCACAGTCTACAGAAAATGCTGCTTTCTTAAAAACAAAACTTGTGGGCACTGTTTATGACCTCTCCTGGAAAAGAGGAATTAAAGTCTTCTCTCAGCCCAAAGCACACTTGGTAATGCCAGCCACTGATTGCAGTTTGAGTGCCTCCTTTAGAAAAATCTAAAGCTCCCTTTAAAGTCAAATTTAAGGCTGCTGCCCCTCTCAGAAAATCCTCCTCAATGTTTAGAGAGTGCCCTGATAGAAATCCCTGACAATAAAGTAAAACATTGCTCCTCCCTTTCAGAGCATCTCTGGCATGGAGAGGACTCAAAACTTCCTATGCATCGAAAGAAAAGCGTGTGGATAGGGACAAAAAAATTGCCTCCACCCCTGTAATTTCTTGTACTGCTCCCATAAGTGCCAGTTTGGTTTTCCTGCAGCGATTTTCCTGCAGAAACCAGTGGCACGGGGATTTGAAGGCTGTGTGATCAGGTCAGGAAGCCTCGTGGCTTTGAGAAACAGGATTGCATTTATTAACTCCGAAATGATGCTGAATTGAAGAGCCAGCACCGTAACCTCCTGTAATGAAATTACAAATGCCATGACCTGGATGGAATGAAATGAGAGGCCTCCTGATGGCTAAAGATGGGATTGGCATCTTTCACGTTTCCGCAGGGCTGGAAGTCGACACTGGGGTTATGGCAGAGTTGAGGGAGGTCTTGGAAAGCTGTGGGTGGGAAGCCAGAGTTTCTGCTCTGCTCTGGGAAGTTTGTTCTGCCTCCCTGACTGGATGCAAAGTCTGGCTCTCGTTTTTTGGGGCAGGTTTGGGCCCCCAAAACCATGCTTGTGGTCAGAGCCCTTCCCAGCACAGACACCAGGCAAGGGCTGAAAACACCACTGGGTTGGAGTGAGAGGAGCATTAAAAGCCCAGTAGAGGGGAAATGCAGCATTTCAGCTCGCTCAGATACCTAAATGCCTTTTTCTCCTCCAAAATATTGCCATGGCTGGGGTTTGCCAGGTCAGTTCCTGCTGTGGGTGGGTGATTATCAGGGAATCTTGGTCCCTGCCTGCCTCTATGCTGCCTCCAGAGCTGGCTGCTTTTAATCACCAAACCCACTAATGAAGCTGCTTCGTGGTTTCAGTCCCTTGTCTCTGTGCTTCTACAACGTGAGCTTTTGGGGATCTGAAAACACATGCTGACACCTCAGAGAAGCACCCCAGTGGGGAGGCAGGCAGCAGCCTGGGTGAGAACCCCCAGATTTCAGCCAAGGGTGATCCCCTGGGTTTCTCTGTATCCTTTAGGTAAGGTTTGCTGGGAAAGCAGCAGCGCTGAGTGTGGGTGAGCTGCGGAGAGGTGCAAAATCTCTGTGTGCTCTTCAGCTGGAAGGGAGGAAAACCACATCAAGAAGTCCCTGTTGAAAAGGAAAACAAATTATTCTGGTGATTCCTGAGCTGCTCACGTGGTTCAGCAGCAGATTTTAGTCTGGAAACTGTGTTGAAAATATTTAGCGAAGCTGCTGTTGTGTGCAGCCTGTGATGGGTGCACCAGCGTGGCAGTGAGGTTATTTTGGTTTTCTCCCAAACAAATTTTTAAATTTATTCATTATGTGTTTCCTCATGGGAAGCCTGTTAGATTGCCCAGGCAGTGACTTTTTTTATCTTGAACATAATTCAGTAAAATGTTTGCTAGTCCCATGTAGCAGAAAATCTGTGTTTAACACACGTTGGAACCTGAACCAGCAGGAGCACAGTGTGTTGTCTCCAAACCAATGCCAAGCACTTTTAACCTTGGTGTTGTTTTTCCCTGTTCTTATTTTAGCCTCAATCAACTGAAATAGCTGAAGGAAAAAATAATCCCGGGGGTGGAAGGAGAGTACATTTGCCTTTAGCACATTCCTGAGATCTGGAGTGTGGTGGCTGCTCGTTTCTCCCTGGCTTTGTGCACCAGGACCAGCCTGGCTTTGAGACCCAGCAGACATCTGTGGCATCCAGTGCTTTGTTGATGTTTTAAAAATAACTCTAAACCCGGCTCTAACATTGGATTAAGGTGTTGGGATGACAATGCTGGACACCCCAGTCTTCCCTGGGAGGGCAGGAGGGATGTGGCTGGTTCTCTCCAGCCCCTGGATTTGGATCCAGTGGGGATCCCTCCTTTCTTCCACCCTGCTCTTGTGAGCAGGGATTTGATTTGATGGTGGCCACAGCCAGAGATGATTTGAATTGGGGCTGGGCAAAGTCAGGGCTGTACAGACATTGCCAGTGCCTGATTAAAACCTGTGGTTTTCCTCCATTAATTCAGTCAAGAAGAACTATTTTCCAAAACACCCCTGCTATGCATCAAGGATATAATTATCTTTATAACTAACAGCTTGAGGCAGATTTTTCCCTCCCCTTATGTGCAGTCAGACAGCAGTTAGATTTCAGCATGCCTGGTTTTTTATTTCCTTTCTCCTTCCTCCCTTCTCAGCTGCTTTTGATTTTATTTTACCTATGGAGTGAATTTTGGTGAGTAAATAAAAGTATTTTTCATTCTGTTCTCTGCAGAATCAAGTCTAGGGACATGTAAGTGCCATTCCTGGAAATGTGCTTGGTGACCTCTGAGGGATAACAATGTGTAGTGGCCATACCATAACTTGTGCTGACTGAGGTGAGGAGAGGAAGACCCTCATCCAATTCCTTGGAGCAGCCAATTGCAGTGTGTTTAGTAGTTAATATTATTTAACAGCAATGCTTTATGGCAAAAAGTCAGCCCCTTGTGACCCAGCTAAGCAGGACTGCCCTGCACTGGGCTACACAGTACAAACCTTTGGTTTGCATTTTCATTTTAATCTCATATTCTGCATCTTACAGGAGCTGTTACATGGAATCTTGTATGGATTGGAATGATGTGAAATTATCTTTCCTTTGGGGATGGATTGGCTGTTATAGGTGCTTCATGAAATACTGGATTTGAATAACACAGTCCAGTGGTACCTCTGAGCCCCCAAAAGCCCCCAGACAGGCTTTGCTTTCAGGCAGCCAGCTCCTACCTCAAATTTCAGCTAATAATTCCCTGGCAGCTATTTTTAGGCAGTTTATTTTGTGCCCTCTTATAATGCTTGGAGTAGCTATAGAATGACAACAAAAACTCAAGTATCCCCAGCCCAGCAAAAAGTAAATGCCTGCAAATCATCCAAGTACCAGCTTGAGGGATAAATCACTTCCTTCCTTTGCAGGCACAACAGGATGCTGAATTTAAAACCTGGGAGATCCTTTTGGGTTTCATGATGATGTTCAGCTATCTGCAAAATACCTCATTAATGCTGGTGGGGGGAGAAAAACCAGCTTTCTCTTTATTTTGCTTAGTGTAATAAAATGAAGGGAATAACCCTTCCAGGAGCAGGGATGAAGTCCCTGCTACACTGAGTTAATAAATCTGATTACAAGCCTTTAGGTTGTGGGTGCATTTCCCCTTAATATGAAAAAATGGCTTGTGGGATGGGCTCCAGAGGGCTCTTGGGGCCACCACATCTTGTGCCACATTCCCTAAGAGCTGAAAACCTTTGGGCCCTTTGGAAACTCTCCACACAGCCAGGTCCCTGACAGGGGCCTGTCCCCAGCCTGGCTGAGCAGGGAGTGACTTTCTCTGCCAGCTGTGGATCCGGTGTCCCGTCTCCCAAGCCAGCAGGATGTACTTCAGCTCCCTCCTGCCACCATGGGCTGTATCCTAAACCTGCCTCTTTCCATTTCAAGTTTTTCTCTTTCTATGAGACTTAAAATGGTGACTTCTCTAAAGGATAATAAAAAACGTTTTTACAAATACATTAATGGTAAAAGGAAGGGTAAGAGCCACCCTTGTTCTCTATTAGATGCAGGAGGGAACTCAGCAGCTGCAGATGAGGAGAAGGCAGAGGTGCTTGACACCTTCTTTTCCTCAGTCTTTAGTGGAAAGTGGCTTGTCCTCAGGACAGCTGTCCTCTTGGGTTGGTAGATGGTGTCAGGGAGCAGAATGGTCCCCCTGTTGTCCAGGAGGAGGCAGGCAGAGAACTGCTGAGCCACTTGGATGTTCATAAATCTATGGGGCAGATGGGATCCAGCCAGGGTGATGAGGGAGCTGGCAGATGAGCTTGCAAAACCACTCCCCATCATTTACCAACAGTCCTGGCTCATTGGGGAGGTTCCAGATGACTGGAAACTGGCCAGTGTGACAGCCATTCACAAAAAGGGTGGGAAGGAGGATGCTGGTGATTATAGGCCAGTCAGCCTGCGCTCAGTACCTGATAAGATAATGGAGCAGTTTATGCTGAGTGTCATCACGCAGCACTTACAGGATGGCCAGGGTATCAGACCCAGCCAGCGTGGGTTCAGGAGGGATAGGTCTT